TTCTTGTCTTCCTAATTTGGACATGGTTCTATCTGCCATGGCTCCTGTGGGTGTATGTTTTTGGTTTTTTGTTTGTTTGTTTGTTTGTTTGCTTGCTTGCTTGTTTAAAGAACTATTTGCTTATTTTAGGTATATGAGTACACTGTAGCTATCCTTAGACATGCCAGAAGAGGGCATCAGATCCCTTTACAGATGGTTGTGAGCCACCATGTGGTTGCTGGGAATTGAACTCAGGACCTCTGGAAGAGCAGCCAAGTGCTCTTAACCACGGAACCATCTCTCCAGCCCCTGGGTGTATGTTTTTATCATCAGAAGATTATGATGCCAAGGTCACCTGGAATATCACATGATGTCTAGCTGGTCTTGCTGTGGTGGCATAACCACTGGGAGTATGTTATCAGCATACAGGCTTTTAACTCTTGCAAGTCCGCAGCATAGCTGATGGGATTGCCAGTAACTAGAGGGCTTAGACTGGTTAGTCCAACAGATTCAGGACCCAGTCTCACCACACAGCATCCCACATGCCTGCCAGAGCAGCCAGTAAACTTTTTATCAGCTTCTGATAGAGAGAGGAACAGACTGCTGATATGTCTGTTAAACTGTTTTATCATTTTTTTTAAGTGTTTTGCCCTTATTACAAAGTTTCGTAAGTTACTTATATGTTCTAGACAGGTATCTTTTACTACTTACCTTAATTTAGTCTATAGATATTTTCTCCCAGTTGGGCCAAAAAAAAAATAAAAAGTAAAAATTAACTACACTGCCTTTCAGTGAGTCCATTTAGAATATTTATGTCTTATACAATTACTGATAAGTGCTTATATCAGCTATTATGTTTGGGTCTCTTTACCCTCATTTCCTGTTTGCTCTTTATTCCTCTGTCTAAGTTTCCTGAATATTGGTTTTAGAAGTCTGTTTTACTTTATCAACAGTATTGGGGAAAATTATATATATATCTTTGTGCAGAATTTGAGGACTTTTCCCTAGAGATTGTTCTATGTGTATTACTAACCGCTATCTAATAAGAAAGCATTTTAGCAATGGAGGCAAAATGTAGAGCCTCTAACCTTTCTGTGACTAGCTGTGATAAGTTAAGTTCCACCTTACAGTTGTTTGTGGCTTTCCTTTCTGTGAACACTGGGAACAACTTCAGGATCTTGTCACTTTTGCAACAACCACCAAACATAAATATAAACTAAGACACCAAAGAGGAGAAGGCAAGCCTGCTGTGTTGAGAGGTCCTCTTAAACCCAGTATAACTCAAACACCAGGTCAATGCAAATGACAAAAATTTATTGTAATCAAGATGCTATTGATGGATCATGGTTGCAAAACAGCCTTGGGAGCTGGACTACAACCCTGAAAGGACATTGTACACCATATTTTAAGGATGAACTCATAGAGCGAGGCAGGGGCTGTAGCATTGTCCAATCACATTTTGACATAAGGGGTTTAGCAAGGGAGTTTCCATCAATCAAGATAGGAGTAGGTTCCTGGGCCTGGGAGCATGAACTCAGTTTGACCCTGCCAGCAAGATGGAGAAGTTGTCTTTTCGATGTCTGGACTCAGACAACTATTTCCTCATAATAGAAGATGTCCAGATATTGGGAAGTCCCCGCTCCCCTAGGGCCTGGGACCTGGAGTTTAGTTTCTCCCTATGATTAAGTGAAGTCTGAAAATGAAATAGTAATACTTAGAATATGTTTCTTCTGCTTGTTCCCAAAGGCTGTATTTGCCTATATTTTCACTCTCTGCAGCTGGATCTTCCATCTTGGTTTTGCATGATTCCTCCTTGTGTTGTTGCCTCTCTGGTTCGATGCCTCTCTTAGCCACTCTACTGAGTTCAGTCCTCTGGCAACAGATTCTGTTTTCCTCCATCTGTACTATAGACTCAATGTTTGTACCTGTGTTTGTGTCCCTACAAATTCTAATGTTGAACCCAGGATTCCCCACTGTGCCAGTGTCTGGAGATGGAGCCACTAAGGAAATTGTTCACACTGAGTGAGGGCATGGCACAGAGTTCTTCTCTAATTGGATTAGTATTCTTTTTTTTTTTTTCTGGTTTTTCGAGACAGGGTTTCTCTGTGTAGCCCTGGCTGTCCTGGAACTCACTCTGTAGACCAGGCTGGCCTCGAACTCAGAAATCTGCCTGCCTCTGTCTCCCAAGTGCTGGGATTAAAGGCGTGTGCCACCACCGCCCGGCTGGATTAGTATTCTTACAAAAAGAATCAAAGGGACTAGAGAGATTGCTCAATGTTTAGAGCACAGACTCTCTTCCAGAGGACCTGAGTTTGATTCTTAGCACCCATATAGCATCTCACAACTGTCTGCAAACACTCCAGTTTCAAGGGGTCTGACAACCTCTTCTGGCCTTCAAGGGCACCAGACACATACTTGGTGCACAGACATACGTGCAGAAAAACACCTACACACATGAAATAATTAAAAAAAAAAAGCTGAGGATGGCTCCTCGAATAAAGTGCCCAATTGTGAGAACCTA